TACAAATTGGTATCAGAGCCTTTGATTTTTAAACTGGGGATTTTTAAACAAAAACTTTCTCTTAGGTGAATATGGTTTCCAAAAAGATTTTATAACCTTTTTTTTGCGATTTTCTAAAATTGTTTTTAAAGCTATATTTTCTTAGGCATATGAATTTTTTTTCCAAGAAGTTTATTTCTAAATGTTTTCAAAAAGCTTATGACAGATTCCCAAAAGTTTTTTTTAAAGGAAAAAAAAAACTTAGGAATAATAATTGGACTAAGGAAATATTAAATTTAGGATCGTGGTGAGATTGTGAGATTTATATTTTTTTGGAACTTGATATTAATTTGAAATAGGCACATTTGTGATATATTCCTATATACATGTCTAGGAAAGACTTAAAGCTAGTGAGGAGAAATCTATGATGTCGTATGGGCACATTTGCTCCTATGTGTTTGATTTTGTAAAAAAAAAAAAAGAGAGAGAGAGAGACAGTAAGAGTGTCCTATGAAATTTTAGGATTATATATGCTTCAGGGACGAAGCATTCTTTCAAGGAGGGTAGAATGTGACACTCCGTAAATTTAATACTAATAAAGATACGGAATTTGTTAATTGCATTTGTAGGTATTTTTCATTATATAACTTATGTTTCGGGACGAAACATCTTTTAAGGGGGATAGAATGTGACACCCCGAAAATTTAAATAAAATAAATAAATTTATTAGTCAGATAAAATGTTACGAAAGTCACATTTTTATAATTAAGTGAATCAGATAAAATTTTAACATCGGTGACAACTTTAATCAGATAAAAATGTTTCAATAATAAAAGTGACATTTTTATAATAGTTGTGTTGACTAGATAGGACCTTGACTTAAATGATTAAAGTGACGTTTTTGAAACAAGAGATAAATATAGGTATGATATAAATAATAAAAGTGAGCCAAGTGACATTTTAACAACTTTAATTCAAAAATATCAGTTAATAATATGCGTATGAAAATACACTAAACACATGTGAATTAACTTTCAAACAAATGTATACTTCGTACAGGCTTACATATATAGGAAATATAAACATATGCATGATAAAATGACATCATCATTAATAATATACAAATGTAGTACGTACTACATGTGACATGTCTGCCATCCTTAGCTAGATACACAATAATATAGACAGCATGTATGTGATACAATGAACTTGGAGAGTGCAGACTATACATAGTCACACGTCTGATGCATACGAACAACAAACCATCGCACATGCTAGATCACTTACCGGGAAAGAGGCCAAAGATATGTGTACTTGTTCTGCACCAAAGAAATGTTCTGCACCAAAGAAAAGCCAACGACATGCGTATTCGTATATACACAAATACATATTTATATATGTATATATATACTACCCTGCGAAATCATAACGAGAGAAAAACTTCACACACTACCCGCACTTTAATTTCCTCTACGGCCTGCAACCTGAGTTATGAGTGAAGGGGAGTAATAGAGAAGGGATTGACGCCGGAGAATAAACTTTGACCGTGCTGCTGCACCAGAGAACCCACTGAACCAGTCACCGGAAGAGGAGCTCGTCGGGGGAGAAAAAGTTAGCCGCCGGACCCAGCTAGTGACGATTGTGCCGCTTTACCGGAGTTCGCTGGATCACTGGAAGGGTGGAGAAACCGCCGCAGCCAACACCGGAACTGACCTGCTGTGGTGGCTAGACGTCGCCGCCTGCGCACGCCGGCTGGAGCGACGAAAACAACTAATACTTACGTACGTACGTGATTATACTCCGTATTGTTCTTATCGTTATACACTGAAGGTTATTACTGGGCCAGATGCTTTGAAACTGAATACACTTATACGTAGTAATAGTTAACTGGACTGAATAATAATAATAAGGATAATAGTAATAATAAAATAGTCATTAAAAGAAATAAAAATAATTATTATAATTGAGATTCTTTAGTAATATCAAGTAATGGACCAATTAGTACTATACGAAGTATAATGGACTTACTAATCCCGATCTATGAAATTGATGAAAATCAGAATAAGAATGGACCAAGTGAGGAAGAGAGGAAATTGGATAAATTAAATTAATAAAAGCAAAATAGTGGACTAATTATGAAATTGTAATTAAAAGGTGATTTTCTAGAGACCGGAATAGAAGACGTGAACTAGGAGCATCATATATTTCCGAGGTAAGTTTCTCTGCCGATCCAAAATGATTTCCTCATACTATATGTTATTATGTGATTAAATGTGAATTTTGAATTTGTATGTGATTTTGAGGAGATATTAGATTTATGGTATTTGAGAAGTGCAAACTAAGTACTTTTGGGTATTAAATATTTTTAAATACCTTTGAGACTATTTAGAGAGATTGAGAAATATTTTTTGGAAGTATATCTAAAGTCAAGATAAAATTTACGTTTTCATAAGAAGTGAGCACCCGGGAGAAATCCGTGGTGTCGGTTTTCCACATCCGGATAAATGTGGAGGGTGATTAAGGCTACTACTACTAAGAAGTACAGTTTGAGTTTGAAGTGACGTTTGGATCTATGATCCCTTTTAAGAAGAAGTTATAGTAGTAGTCCCTAATCATTCAAGAATTTTAAAGGTGGGGTAGTTGGTAGACTGAGTCCCGATTACTCGTGACGACTTACTACTCGGAGGGCTTGGAATCCCTTTTAGGGGATGTGCACACTTAAGGTAGTCGTTTCGTTTCCATTAGCAGTTGTGGTACCGGCAAAAGTCCCGGGGTGGCCGTACATAACAACGTAACCACCGGGCTCAACCAGTGTTGAGCACCGCCCTTCTAAATTACTAGGAAGATAGAGAAGAAGTGAACTTTGAGAAATTCTAAGAGAAGAGTTACTATGGTATTTTCAAAGAAAAGTTGAGGACTTTATTAAAGAAGTGATTTTGAGAAATATCAAATAGAAAAGAATTTTGGTGGAGTGTGTCATTTTTATATAGTATTATATGAAAAACTATTTTTCGCCAAACCTGATTATTTTACGGGGTTGGGTAGTACTTACTTAGCTCTAAAGCTAATTTTTGTTTTCTTTCCTTTGTTTTGTTTTCTGCACTCTATTTGTGCAGGTGATGATGCTTATGTTGACTGATGATTGCTTGATTCCCGAGAGCGGTTGATACGTTTGTAATTTCCGTATGTTTATTTACGTTTTCAGTTAGTTTTGATTGTTTAATATCTCGTAAATTACACACTTTCGGTGTAATAGTTTAGTTTGTTAAATTCTTGTAATTTGTTTAGATTAGGTTTAATCTGAGCTTAAACAGGTCCAAGATTAATCAAATGATCAATGGTGAAGGAAGGTGCAAGAGTACAAGACAAAAGAAGGAAGAATCCTGACTTTGGTCTATACTCGGTCGAGTATATACATATACTCGATCGGGTATCTGGTTGACATTTCAAATCGGATCGGATCCGAAAACAAAGGAACATGCAGGAGAAGATCTTCCCACGTTCGAGTGTCTATACCCGATCGGGTATGCTTATATACTCGATCGGGTATGCACATAAAATCTACTCGAGTATTGATCGAGTATTGACCAAATTCTGATTTCTATACATACTCGATCGAGTATGTATACATACTCGATCGAGTACTCGATCCTGCACCTCAAAAAGCCTATAAATACACCTCCTTTCCTTCACTTTTAGATACCAATTCCTTTATACTCTTAAGCTCAGTTTAGAATAGCATTTCTCTATACTTCTTTTAGCATGTTTAGTCTCCAAATGAGGAGCTAAACTTCCATTTCTTGGTTTTGCTCTTGAAGCTTGATTGATTATTAAAGTTGTGAGTTATTTTCTTACTCTCTCTTCTTGATTATTAATTCTTCCCTTAATCTCATTCTACATCATTGTTGGAGGGTTGCTAAGTGACGATTAGTTAACGTTCCAACATTGATTATTACTAGAAACGATCAACGAACCGATGGTTAATCGTTGATAGTTTCACAAGTAAGTAACTTCGGTTTGTTAATGCACGGTCGTGGTTAATAAACTTAAGAGGGATCAATTTTGTTGGTTAAACCGAAACCGTTGCGTTGAGGTTATCAATCTCAATTGATTTCATCAAGGAGTTAAAGAGGTTAAATGCTACTATTATATCGGTATACGGCGTTGTTCTATATTTGATTAATAGTAAGGGTTATTAATGAACGGTCGTTGTTAATAACTACCCTCGATGAACTGGATACACTCCGCGATTGAGTATTCGAGAGGGGACAAGTTATGGATATAACAATGATCGACTAAAATATATCAACAAGTGGAAAGTAGCAAGACCAAGTCTCTTTTATTCTTGAATTTAATCCCATATAACTTGTTCATCTTCGTGTTTAAATTAATTAAATCACTCAACAAACAAAACCCCCCTTTATTTACTATATTCATAAAAAGAAAGTTATTCCTTTCCCTGTGGATACGAACTCTACTTCACTATACTACGTATAAGTGTTGTATTGAATTTACTTTGAGTGCACTCACGACAAAGTGCACGTCAAATTTGGCGCCGTTGCCGGGGAAAGGCAATTATTTTTTTCTTTTTATTTCAAGAAAAATCAAAAAAATATATATATATATGGTTCAAAGTATAAAGATTTCTATTTCTGCTGAGCTTTGTAGTACATGGTAAAATATCGTTCACTGAACGAAATCACATACCACTCAAACCCCGAAATAGAACGAACTCTCGAGCGGTTGAAAAACAAATTTTCAAACTCCGACTCGGGAGATTCATCAAGCACTAGTTCTCAATCTAGTGAAACCGAAGAGCCAATCACCATGGCTCATGAAACGAGAACATTAAGGGAGCTCACGGCTCCAAATCTAAATCAACAACCCCTTTGTATCACTTTCCCAACTCTTGATACGGGGGTCACATTCGAGCTAAAATCTGGGCTCATCCATCTACTCCCATCTTTCCATGGCCTACGGGGGGAAGATCCGAACAAACACCTGTCGGAGTTTCATATTGTGTGCACAAGCATGTGCCCCAATGGCGTGTCCGAAGAGCAAATCAAGCTGAGAGCTTTCCCTTTTTCTCTAAAAGACACCGCCAAGGACTGGCTATTCTATCTTCCTTCGGGGAGCATCAACACATGGGCTCAAATGAAAAAGAGCTTCCTCGACAGGTATTATCCCGCATCTATCTCTTCAAGTCTCAAAAAGCAAATCAGCAACATTGAGCAAGCCGATGATGAGACCTTGTACGAATATTGGGAGCGCTTTAAAAAATTATGCGCTAGCTGCCCATATCATGGATATTCGGAACAAGATCTCATCCTCTACTTCTATGATGGGCTTGTTGATCAAGATAGACGCATGGTGAATGCGGCATGTGGAGGGGGTATTGTCAACAAAACCCCTTCTCAAGCAAGGGACCTCATCTCCGAGTTGGCCGAAAATTCGAGGCATTATAATGGGAGGTCATCATCAAAAAGAGTTATGGCAGCGGAATCCAACAATTCGTTGGAAAGTCAAGTGGCCGGCTTGACTTCTTTGGTCAAAGATCTTCTTTTGAATCCAAAAACCCAAGAAGTCAAGGTCTGCGGCATATGTTCAACACAAGGGCATCCCACCGATTCTTGCCCAACATTACAAGAGGAGAACCCCGAGCAAGTCAATGCTTTGGGTTTCCAAGGTCAAAGGAGGTACGATCCACATGGCAACACTTACAATCCGGGGTGGAGGGATCATCCCAATCTAAGGTACGGAAACTCTCAACCTCCTCAACAATCAAACCCTCCCCCTCAACAATATAAACAACAAGGTCAAACATCGAACTCGAGCATGTCCACCGAGGACATGATTCGATCACTTGCCATGAACATGGCTACGATGCAACAAAGTGTGACCCAATTCCAAGAAACCACCAAATCAAGCATCCACAATTTGGAAAACCAAATGAGTCAAATCTCAAATGCCGTAAGTAGACTTGAAGCTAAGGATTCGGCAAAACTCCCATCTCAAACTGAGCCGAATCCAAGGCAACAAGCTCACGCGGTCACTTTGAGAAGTGGCAAGGAGTTAGTTATGGCTAAAGCAAAAGCAAAGAGCCATGTTGGGGAAGAAGAGGAGGAAATCTTAGTGCCAAGCACAAATCCTCAAAATGAAGAGGAGAAGGAGGAGGAAGCCACACCTCAAAGAAAGTTTCCACCGCTCAACTCATACGAGCCGGTACCACCTTTCCCGGAGGCTCTCAAGGACAACCGCAAATACAACAATGACAAAGATATCTATGAGACCTTCAGCAAATGTGAGGTAAATATCCCTCTCCTAAATTTGATTAAAGGTGTTCCTAGATTTGCAAAGTTTTTAAAAGAGCTTTGTACAATTAAACGGAAACACAAATTAAATGGAAAGCATAAAATCCAAGTAAGTGAAAGAGTATCGGCCGTTTTTCAAAAGAAATTGCCTAAAAAGTATAGTGACCCGGGAATGTTCACTATACCATGTAAACTTGGAAATTCTAGTTTTTCAAGGGCTATGTTAGATTTGGGTGCATCAATCAATGTCATCCCATATTCTCTATATAAGTCCCTAGAGCTAGGGCCTTTACATGAGACGGGGGTTGTTATCCAACTTGCCGATAGATCCAACGCTTACCCCAAGGGTGTAGTGGAGGATGTACTCGTCATGGTGGATAATCTAATCTTTCCCGCTGATTTTTATGTTCTCGAAATGGAGAACGATAAAAATGCAGTCCCAATTTTGCTAGGAAGACCCTTTCTAAAGACGGCCAAGGCAAAAATAGACGTTTTTAGTGGAGTATTAACTATGGAATTTGATGGTGAGAAAGTTGAATTTAATATCTACGACTCAATGAAATACCCCACCGATAATCACTCTCTTTTTGCCATTGATACTTGTGACACTTGGGTCCAAGATGTATTTGAAGTTGAGGGGAAAGACATGTTACTAAGCTCAATTGAAAACGACATAGAGGACTTCACTATGGAATACTCTATGTCAAACAACATGAAGATGATGGTGGCGGAGTTAAATCAACTCCCACTTTTGCCACCGGGCTCTAAAGCCCTACCACTAACCATTCCGAGCGAGAAGCCGCTACCATCTGTTTTGCAGGCACCGGAGGTGGAATTGAAACCACTCCCTGAAAATTTGAAACATGTGTTCTTGGGCGAAAATCAAACTCTACCGGTGATTATCTCAAATGCCTTGGCCCAAGAACAAGAGGAGAGGTTGATTGCGGTCCTTAAGGAGTACAAATTGGCCATTGGATGGTCTATTGCCGACATTAAAGGCATTAGTCCATCCACATGCATGCACCGAATCCTTCTTGAAGATGAAGCCAAAGCGGTGAGGCAACCGCAAAGAAGATTGAACCCACCCATGATGGAGGTGGTGAAAAAGGAGGTGATCAAACTACTTCAAATGGGAATCATTTTTCCCATCTCCGATAGCAAATGGGTAAGTCCAACCCAAGTGGTGCCAAAGAAGACCGGAGTGACGGTCATTGAGAACAAAGAAGGCGAGATGGTACCCACCCGAATTCAAAACGGGTGGCGAGTTTGCATTGATTACCGAAGGCTCAATTCGGTAACTAGAAAAGACTTCTTCCCATTGCCCTTCATTGATCAAATGCTAGAGAGGCTAGCGGGGCACAAGTTCTATTGTTTTCTTGATGGTTACTCCGGGTATTTCCAAATACCAATAGCCCCGGAGGACCAAGAGAAAACAACTTTCACATGTCCATTTGGCACTTTTGCCTACCGACGAATGCCCTTTGGATTATGCAACGCACCGGGCACCTTTCAAAGGTGTATGATGAGCATCTTCTCCGAATTTGTGGAGGTGTTCATGGAAGTCTTTATGGATGATTTCACAATTCATGGGGACTCCTTTGACACTTGCCTCTACCATCTCACTCTTGTGCTCAAAAGTTGTATTGAATCCAACCTTGTCCTAAATTCTGAAAAATGTCACTTTATGGTGGAACACGGGATTGTTCTTGGACATGTGATCTCTTCAAAAGGCATTGAAGTAGACAAAGCCAAGATTGATGTCATCCAAACACTCCCGTACCCAACAAATGTACGGGATATTCGATCTTTCCTTGGGCATGCCGGATTCTATAGAAGGTTCATAAAAGACTTCTCCAAAATTTCATCTCCCCTATGCAAACTCTTGCAAAAGGAGGTGGAATTTGATCTCAATGACGAATGCAAGGAGGCTTTTGACACATTGAAAGAAAGGTTGGTAACCGCTCCTATTATACAAGCTCCCGATTGGTCTCTTCCTTTTGAGATCATGTGCGACGCAAGTGATTATGCTGTGGGGGCTGTTTTAGGCCAAAAGGTTGGACGGGCTGCTCATGTCATCTACTATGCCTCATCAACTCTCAATGAAGCACAAAAGAACTACTCCACTACCGAGAAGGAAATGCTAGCGGTGGTCTTTGCTTTGGAGAAGTTTCGTTCCTACCTTCTTGGAACGAAAGTTATTGTCTACACCGACCACGCCGCTCTCAGATTCCTTATGACAAAGAAGGAAGCCAAACCAAGACTCATTCGATGGGTCCTTCTATTGAGTGAGTTTGATATAGAAATCAAAGACAAGAAAGGAGCGGAGAACTCGGTGGCCGATCATTTAAGCCGTTTGGTTCCAAACAAAGAAATCGAAAGTCTCCATACCAATCTCATAAAGGGCGAATTTCCAGACGAGACTCTCTTCTCCATCAAAGTCATACAACCATGGTACGCAAACATTGTAAACTTCCTTGTTTCCGGCAAATTTCCTCCACAATTCTCAAAAGCTCAAAAAGAAAAATTAAAAATGGACTCAAGACTCTATGTGTGGGATGACCCATATTTGTGGAAACATTGTAAGGATCAAATAATCCGAAGATGTATTCCCGAATATGAGATAACCCACATTATAGAGTTTTGCCATTCTTATGCTTGTGGAGGACATTTCGGCCCGAAACGGACTGCAATGAAGATTCTTGAAAGTGGTTTTTGGTGGCCAAGTCTATTCCGGGATGCACATGGCTTTTGTCGATCTTGTGACAATTGTCAAAGAGCAGGCAACATTTCTAGGAGAAACGAGATGCCACAAAACCCCATGCTTTTCTGTGAAATTTTCGATGCATGGGGTATTGACTTCATGGGACCTTTCCCAAACTCTCAAGGTAACATCTACATCCTTCTTGCGGTAGATTACGTCTCCAAATGGGTGGAGGCAAAGGCAACGAAGACTGATGATGCCAAGGTGGTGGCTAGTTTCCTAAAAACACACATATTTTCAAGGTTCGGGGTCCCTCGAATTTTAATAAGTGATCGAGGCACACATTTTTGTAATAAAATTGTGGGATCCCTACTAAGAAAATATGGTGTGACTCACAAGATCTCCACTGCTTACCACCCTCAAACTAATGGCCAAGCGGAAACCTCAAATAGGGAGTTGAAGTCTATACTCCAGAAAACAGTGAACCCAAATCGGAAGGATTGGAGTATACGCATTGATGATGCGCTATGGGCATACCGAACTGCTTACAAAACTCCAATTGGTATGTCCCCATATAGACTTGTGTTTGGCAAAGCGTGTCATCTCCCCGTAGAGCTTGAACACAAGTCATATTGGGCGGTGAAAGAATTCAACCTCAATCTTGACGAGGCCGGTTTGCATAGGAAGCTCCAATTGCAGGAATTGGAAGAACTCCGTATGGATTCTTATGACAATGCGGAATTATACAAAAGAAAGACGAAGGAGTGGCACGACAAAATGATCATAAGAAAGAACTTTAAACTTAATGACAAAGTCCTCCTTTTTCAATCACGCCTTCGTCTATTTCCCGGAAAGCTGAGATCCCGTTGGACCGGACCATACAAAGTGGTCAAAATCCATCCACACGGGGCGGTGGAGATTGAAGACCCGGAGACGGGAGAAGTACTCAAGGTGAACGGACAAAGACTAAAACCCTTCTTTGAGGGTTTTCAACCCAAGAACGTGGAGATCATAGACCTTTCTGAACCGGTCTATGAATGAAGGGGAAACGAAGATATCGTCGAGCCACGACGTTAAACAAAGCGCTTCTTGGGAGGCAACCCAAGCAAGGTATGTTTTCTTGTCAGCTTATTTCATTATGTGTGTGTTTCAAAATAAAAAAAAAAATAAAAAAATAAAAAAATGAGCAAAAAGTGTATCTGGGGACATGCCCGATCGAGTACATATCAATACTCGGTCGGGTATGGGTAAGAAAAAAAGACCCGGTTCCCATACTCGATCGAGGTGCAAATCTATTTTCAAAGATACAGGCATACTCGATCGAGTATTGGAACATACCCGGTCGAGTATGCCTGGAAAATCAACTCCATCGGAATCCTGCCTCTGAGGCCCGATCGAGCACACACCCATACTCTATCGAGTATTCGTGGAAAAATGAAAACAAATAATCCCTGCCTCCTGTACCCGATCGAGTACATATCAATACTCGGTCGAGTATAGGTGCAAAAACAACTTCTCTGACCCCCTGCCTCCTGTACTCGATCGAGTATAGGTACATACTCGGTCGAGTATACACCGAAATCAGCCTTCCTAGAACCCTGCCTCCGGTACCCGATCGGGTATACAGGGATACTCGATCGGGTACCCCTGCGGATATAACACCAAATTAACCCCAAAAACACTTCATCTTCCCCAAACTCTCCCCAACTTCGAACAACCCTCCCCCAAAACTCCATTTTTGGACCTTCTCTCTACCATATCTCACCCAATCCTTCACCAAATCATCCCATTCCACCACCAAAATACCCCCCTCACTCTCCTCTCCATATCTATACCCAAAAATCCCCTTTTCCCCAAATATCCAACAAATCCAAAAAAACCTACCCCCATTCAAATTTTTGGATTTCAAGCTCAAATTCATCAACAATGGCACCAAGGAAGAATAGGGGAGAGAGCTCAAGCACCATAGCACCTATTCCGGGTTTTGAAGACATCATTCCCGCCGACACCGAACACCGAACTAGACTCCTAGCAACAACACAAAGGCAAGTAAAACCTTCCCGTTTTCTATGCCATGATGCTCTACGTGAATTAGGAGTCTATAAGAGCTGTAGAAAATTCTTTCATGCATTAGATATGGACCGTATTTTCAATATGAAGTACAATTCTAATGAACGAATTATCTACGAATTCTTGAGTTCGGTGAAGTTTGAGAGTGATGAGGCGGATTTTAGGGATGATAAACTCGAGTTTCGTCTATTTAACCAAAACTATTCAATCACGAAACTCGAGTTTGCTGAACATTTTGGCATCCCGGTGCCCTACGAGAGAACCATCTCGGATAACACCATTTTTGGGCACTCCCTATGGACAAAGATGACCGGGGAAGTGAACTTTAAATCCTCCCAAATGTATATTAGTCATGTCCAACACCCCGTGCTCCGGTTGTTCCTAAAATTTTTGGCGAATTGTTTGCTTGGCCGTCCCAACAACCATCACACTAGAATCGGGGACGTGTGTTTGATGTCCGTGGCCTTATTCTGTCGCCACGTGGACTTTAATCTGTGCAATCTCATGTGGGCACATTTAAAGAAAGAAAGCTTAGCCAAAGGGGCAATAGTTGTGGGTGGAGTGATAATGCACTTGGCAAATAGGTTCGGGTATACGGATAACTCCCCTATACCCGACTATTGCTTAATGGATATGGGTTGGTTAGGACGCTCGGGATGCACATCTTTCTCCCACACGGTCTATATTGGAGACCAACCAAAAAACATGTACAATTGGGTCATACACGTACAACCTGTGCAATACTTCCTAATGCCAAACCCGGACACCCCCAAACTACGCTACAGACCGGAGTTCGAGGAGCCTCACTACCTATTCCCTCACGTCCTTCCACCACATCTCCAAGAACCGCAAGCCCAAGATCTCCCCGAAGACCAACCCGACCAAGAGCCTCAACCCGAGTACCAAGAACCCGAGGTTGCACATCACCACATGCCCGAACCGAACCAAGCTTCCCCACCTCCCGCTTACTTCCAACAACTGCTTGACGGATTCAATAGAGTTACCAATGAAGTTGGTAAATATCGGGAGGAACAAAGGGCGGGATTTCAAAAACTAGAGGAGCAACGGGCCGAAGATAACCGAAGGTATGAAGAAGATCAACGTAGGTTCTATGGACCTATGTATTCCTACATGGCTCATCAAGGCCGATTCCACACCATGGCTCAACCACCACCACCCCCCTCTTGGTATGACCCCACTCAATGGGGCAATTTCGGAGGATCTAGCTCCGGGGGTGGAGGTTTTGATGGAGGGAATGATGGCGGCGACACCCACATGGGCGATGGGAGCTTTGGAGGAGGCTTTGGAGGCGGCTTCTATGGCGGTGAAGGTGGGCACTAGGGACAGTGCTTCAACTAAGTGTGGGGGAGGAGATTACTCATGGTATGTAATTTTATTTTCTACCTTTTACTATGCATGAATTTCTTTTACCCTTTGTAATTAAAAAAAAAAAAAAAAAAAAGAAGAGAAAAATGGATAAAAGAATTGAAATGCTAGTTAGGTTGAAAACCCAAAAAAATGGGCAATCTAAGCAAAAATGGTTTTAAAAAAAAAATGAGTGAGTTAGGGAGGATGGAAAAACACAAAGAGATGCTAGGATGAAAACCTGAAAAGGCTCCTAGGCAAAATGAGAGATATGAGAGGAATCTTTTTCTGTGTGCAGGAACTCACTTGATCTTTTGGGGAGAAAGAGGAGAAACAGAGAAGAAGAGGAAGAAGAGTCAAGAAGATGGAGCATAGAAGATCATAAAACCCAAGAGAGAATGTTGTTTGTAAAATCATTTCTTATTTCTTGGTGATCTTAGTTCATTTCGTTCTTGAACTCATGGAATGGTCTTAAACTGTTTGAACATTTGACTTTACTCGAGGACGAGTAAAGAGCTAAGTGTGGGGGAGTTGATACGTTTGTAATTTCCGTATGTTTATTTACGTTTTCAGTTAGTTTTGATTGTTTAATATCTCGGAAATTACACACTTTCGGTGTAATAGTTTAGTTTGTTAAATTCTTGTAATTTGTTTAGATTAGGTTTAATCTGAGCTTAAACAGGTCCAAGATTAATCAAATGATCAATGGTGAAGGAAGGTGCAAGAGTACAAGACAAAAGAAGGAAGAATCCTGACTTTGGTCTATACTCGGTCGAGTATATACATATACTCGATCGGGTATCTGGTTGACATTTCAAATCGGATCGGATCCGAAAACAAAGGAACATGCAGGAGAAGATCTTCCCACGTTCGAGTGTCTATACCCGATCGGGTATGCTTATATACTCGATCGGGTATGCACATAAAATCTACTCGAGTATTGATCGAGTATTGACCAAATTCTGATTTCTATACATACTCGATCGAGTATGTATACATACTCGATCGAGTACTCGATCCTGCACCTCAAAAAGCCTATAAATACACCTCCTTTCCTTCACTTTTAGATACCAATTCCTTTATACTCTTAAGCTCAGTTTAGAATAGCATTTCTCTATACTTCTTTTAGCATGTTTAGTCTCCAAATGAGGAGCTAAACTTCCATTTCTTGGTTTTGCTCTTGAAGCTTGATTGATTATTAAAGTTGTGAGTTATTTTCTTACTCTCTCTTCTTGATTATTAATTCTTCCCTTAATCTCATTCTACATCATTGTTGGAGGGTTGCTAAGTGACGATTAGTTAACGTTCCAACATTGATTATTACTAGAAACGATCAACGAACCGATGGTTAATCGTTGATAGTTTCACAAGTAAGTAACTTCGGTTTGTTAATGCACGGTCGTGGTTAATAAACTTAAGAGGGATCAATTTTGTTGGTTAAACCGAAACCGTTGCGTTGAGGTTATCAATCTCAATTGATTTCATCAAGGAGTTAAAGAGGTTAAATGCTACTATTATATCGGTATACGGCGTTGTTCTATATTTGATTAATAGTAAGGGTTATTAATGAACGGTCGTTGTTAATAACTACCCTCGATGAACTGGATACACTCCGCGATTGAGTATTCGAGAGGGGACAAGTTATGGATATAACAATGATCGACTAAAATATATCAACAAGTGGAAAGTAGCAAGACCAAGTCTCTTTTATTCTTGAATTTAATCCCATATAACTTGTTCATCTTCGTGTTTAAATTAATTAAATCACTCAACAAACAAAACCCCCCTTTATTTACTATATTCATAAAAAGAAAGTTATTCCTTTCCCTGTGGATACGAACTCTACTTCACTATACTACGTATAAGTGTTGTATTGAATTTACTTTGAGTGCACTCACGACAAAGTGCACGTCAGCGGTTTAGAGATGCCTTAGTCAAACCTAGTCAAGAATTATAATTTAATTATGTTGAACACTTGTTTTACTTTGTTTAGTTTTGTGATTGCCTGTGCATTCGGTTAAGAGATGACCGGATGTGGCGGTAACACCCATTTCCCAATTAGTGTTATTTCCGCTGCAAAACTTTTTATCTGTTTTGAAATCAAGTTTATTATCAATAAATCTATTATTTCAAGTATTATTTTGGGAGGGAAAATGGGGGTGTTACAGTCCTTCTTCAAGAACTTCCCACATTTCATCATGAAGAGCACAGAGGTGTGCTTTCATTCGGATTTTCCAGTCATCATACTTCTGATCTGAAAACATGAGGTGCTTTGCAAGAGAGTTATCCATAATAAGTATTAAGAGAGGCTAAGAACAAGTGGATCTTTGTTCAAGGAGTAACCTAAAAGATTACAAGAACAAGGAGGCTTTGATACCACTTGTTGGTCCCGGTTAATGTGGTAACAATCTAGAGGGGGGTGGGGGGTGAATAGACTGTTATGGTTTTTAACTTTTTCAAGTCAAGTACCAAGGTAAACAGAATAGCCTGTTCTGTTGAGAACAGACTGGCAGCGAAGGTCTTCTGGTAAGTGTTCTGTCGGGATAGCCTCACAGAAGAGTAAAGGCACTTGGCCTTCTGGTAACTCACAAGAGGTGTTCTGCTGAACACAGATACCACTTCTTTGGAGTTAATCAGTTTGCAAGTAATAAAAGCAGTAAGTAAATGACACAAGGGATTTTTATAGTGGTTCAAGGAACAACTCGTTCCTCTAATCCACTGTTCCATTAAGCTTGTAAAACAACTGTTACAACGCCTTAGTCCCTAGAACTTAAGAAGCTCTCCACGTCTTCTTCAAGTCTAGATGTCTCCTGGGATGCACTTCCTTGCTTCCTTTAAGACTGATCTTGTTTCACTGAGTCTCCTTGAAGTATCTCCACTTCACTACTCGAGCTACTTTAAGACGTCCTTCTTTGCAGAAGATGTTCTGTTGAAAACAGAGTTTTCTCCAACTTGCTTCGTCACAAAAGATTTGTAATGAGGTGCTTGAAGAGTTGAAGAACAGTAGGAACTTTGCCCTTGTTGGTGATGAAGAGTATGTGAACTTATGATCTTCCCAACGTAGGCCTTTCTTGTTGATGGAGTTGAAGTGTTGAATCTCAAGAAGGATTTTTGTAAATAGAGCACAAGTTATGGCAAAAGTTTCTTGGATGTTCTTCGAATAGTATCTTATATACTGAGGTTGTCTTCCCGTTGGAGGAGGAGACAACTGCATTGAATGCGCGTACAGTTTGAGTTGACCGGCTGGGCCCGCAAGTTTGGCGGCTTGCTATTTTGGGATAGGCTTTCCAGGAATCTCGGTCAATCATCAGCTTTTACTCTTCGGAGAATGGGGCTCATTAAATGAGCATTAAATGCAGTCCTGCAGCTTTTCCGTTGAGTATAAGCTAGTCGTTGAGGGAATCTTCCGTTGAAGTATTTGTCAAAAACTTCTAAGTGTCTGATCTTCTGCTGGTTTACAGAGAGTCTCGAGCTCTTCTGACAAGAGAAAGTCCAGCAGAATACCATAGGTACTTCTGAGGAGCAAAAGGCTAACAGAGGATCTGTTAGGCAGAACTACAACAGAGGGTCTTCAGGTCTTCTGCCAGTCGACTACTCTAAGATTGCTTAAAAAAAAAATTCTAATACATCAATTCTAAAAGGGGTACTCTCAAGTCTTAATCGAACTAGCATCATCAAAATCTAAACACATTTATTCCTTACAATGGAGCTTGAGATAGTTGCAGAAACAAAGAAGCTAGCAATAGTTGAGTCCAAAGAAGAAAACCCCGAGGAAGAAAAAGAAGAGAAGAGAGACATGGAGGCGCCCCAAAACCGTTTATTCCGGTCAAAGCTTACTTGCCACCTCTCCCTTTTCCAGAATGCTTGAAAAGAAAGAGTGATAGTGGGCAGTTTGATAAGTTTTTGAACCTCAGTAAACAAGTGCAAATTAACTTTCCATTCGTGGATGCACTATCACAAATGTCAAAGTATGCCATGTTTATGAAAGAACTTCTAGCAAACAAGAGAAAGTTAGAGGAACCAACAAAAGTTGTGCTTAATGAGGAGTGCTCAGAAGTGATGCTCAAACATCGAGATGCCCAAAAAGTTCAAGGATCCAGCTAGGTTCAATATCCCTTGTTACATAGGATATTATGTAAGGCCTTGGCTAATTTAGGTGCAAGCATTAATTTAATGCCTTATTCCTTGTATGAAAGACTTGCATTGAGTCCACTAAAATCAACATGTATGTGCATACAGCTGGCTGACCGATAAGTCAAATGTCCCCAGGGGATTACTGAAGATGTGTTAGTTAAAGTGGACGAGTTTATAATTCATGTTGATTTTTTTGTCTTGGATATGCCCCAAGATCTTGAGGTTCCTTTAATATTTGGAAGGGCTTTTATGGCAACTGGTTGAGCCCTCATAGATGTTGGGGAAAAGAAGTTAGTGTTGAGAGTTGGAGATGAGAGTACCACTTTTAGCATGGCTAAAGTGGCAAAACAGTCTTGTCAGTCCAGAGATGAGTGTTATTTTCTAGACTTCATGGATCCATTAGGGGAGGAGGAAGAGGATTTTCTACCTTTTAAGGAATCTTTATTTGACCCTTTTTAGACAAAGGTTCTAAAAAAGGTATTGACCCACTCTCATGTTTTAGTTGTGACCCCAAAATGACCATTTGGTTTCATGAATTCAAAGTTTTGCGCCATCTAAGGGCATTTGTTGAGCCGATGTTTGATATGTGGAGAACGAGTTTTCCGAGTAGGAACATTTTGAATTGAGACATTAAATAGGGTTGTTGCGTCGGACAAACGACGTTAAAAATAACGCTTCTTGGGAGGCAACCCAAGCTTAATTCAGCACATCATATTTTATTTATTTATTTATTTATTTTATTTAGTTTAATCGTTGAATTTATTTAATTTTTGATTCTCCTTTTTGGTCTCTCTGGAGACGAAACTCGTACTTTATCCCTATACTGCTATATCATTTAAGTGCGAGAAAGATCACATCATGATTTGCCTTCCGAAGCAGGCTAGCTACGTATGATAACTTGGAATATCTTAACCGGGTTAACATTTGTCCGTTCTGTAATGGTGGCCCAGAGACGGTACTACACCTCTATTTTGATTGTCATATTACGGGGCACATTTGGAAGATGGTTAAAGACTAGCTAAGGATCTCAAGGAAAATGACATCTCTAAACAGTGTGGTCAAATGGATCCAAAAGGAGTGCAATGGAGCACATATTAGAGCAAATACAACAAGGATATCTTTTTGCTATACTATATATTGGATATGGCGAGTTCGTAATTAATGCCATATGTTTTGATGGAGCTACACTCAAGATGGAAGATATGTTGACACATATCAGATACATGGTGTATAGTCGTATAGAGTCCTCTATTCTATATGCCCTTACCATATGATTAACTTTTGAAACTTTCATAGTTTCATCACCTATTTTTGTGATGGCATGTGCTTGAGATTTAGCTAGATTTTTTGAGGTGATAGGACATCCTTACTTCGGATCGCCTATGTTTTTTGTTTTTTGTCTATATGATGTACATATACTTTTGGATGATTTTATACCTATTTATATTTCACCCCAAAAGAAATAACCTAATTAATTGTTCTCATAGTTTCCATGCTAACCAAGGTATGTCTGGTGGTGGGGGCGAACTGTAGCGACGGCGGCAAAAATTAAATCTGGGGGAGGAGATTTTGGCGGCCAGCGACCAATGGTCTGGAAACCTAGGTGCAGTAGTGTTTCAACTCTATGAGACTATTTTGGTTCAATCACAAATAAAAAGTCATATATGTGGCATATTTTGGACCTATTTGAGTAAATCTCCCCAGTATATTTGTGTGACATAGTATATTGGTATGACATACTCCGTAGTATATTTGAAGAATTCCTTTTTCAAATGTTTCTATATAGGGTGATTCTAAATACAACTCATTTTTTTTACTAAAAACAGCCCACATTAATTAATTTTACAAAGTTACCCTTCGGACTTCTTGAAAACCATCGGAGGTCTGAAAAATAGAGTAGTGCATATCCCATTGGCCTTCATCTCCGTTTAAAGTTCTCCATGTACTCCAAACTATCAATAAAATTGAAGCTGTCTTCCGGGAGTGGCAGATTGCCGCCGGCGCCGTCAAAGAATGTGTACTTGGAGCCGCTGCAGTCATGGCCAAGTAAAATTTCATGGCGGTGTCTTCGTCGGCATCTTCATTTTTACGTAGGACATTGTTCATGTGTTTGATTTTGGGCTGGTATTGATTCTCCGAAAATGGGAAAAATATGGT